GGGGAAGGGTCTAGGCCCAAAACGTCAGCCTTCCTGCTCCTCTGATGCTGCTTGGCCTGCTGTGTTCATCCAGCTCTACACCTTGTTTTCTCTGAGTGCCATTCTCCTGTCTTCTCTCCAGAACCCTGCACATTGCTCCTTTCCAAATAATAATCTGCTCCTGAATGTTTCAATTGGCCCTGCCTCCATCACACTCTCAGGTAATATATTTTAGACTGTAACTACTTGAGTGAACCTGCCTCCACCACACTCCCAGGCAGTATATTGTAGTCCCTACCCACTCAAGTGAACATCCCTCCATCACATTCTCAGATAATACATTCTAAACGCTAACACCTCGAGAGAACCTGCTTCCCCCACACTCCTCGGCAGTGCATTCTTGACCCTAACCACAGTGTAGAAAAGATGCTAAGGCAGGGGCATCCTGGAAGTGTACATCAAATTTTCAAAAGGGTTGCCACTCCAAAAGCTAAAGAAAGCTCTTGAAACTGCTCATGTCCATGAAACATGGAAATCAGAGAAATTAATAACAACAGCACGTAGCAGCTTTGCGTTATGAGGAAAACAGAACAACAGTGAATACCCAGAACAATATGTGATCAAGTGATGCCATCATTGATCACATGAACTATGACTAGACTCAGTGATGAGTTAATCAGAGAAGAACCAGGATAAAGGGGATCCTTCTGAAAAGGCCTGCTGCAGATTGGAGTCACAATCAGAGGTTAAAGCCCCAAAGTAAGACAGAAATTTTTGAAGATCAAATATATTGCTGCTGCGAAAGCTGTGAGAATCGTTTGTGTGTTCTACCATCCAGTTCTCAATTCAAGTGATATGACCTGTGGCAAATATTAAATCACTGTTCAATCTGCTTGATACATTTGACTTGAAAGTTGGTAAATCATTCTGACTTTGTCACAATAAAATCAATTCATAACATTTGACTCTGTTGCCAAGTTGATTGCCTGCTTGAAAAGGAGAGCAAATCCCCAAAATCAAACAATGCAGCATGTCCAATCCAAGCTGGGAGCCACTGGGAACATGAACAGTCAAAGGGATGTTCAGTGTACAGATTTGGGGTGGTGGTTGGTGCTGGTGCTGGGAAATATGTAGTGATTGGAACAAGATCAGCCAGTTGGACCTCATAGATTATGATTTCCCTGATTGGAGCTGTTATTCTGGTCCAATCAGATAGCACTGACTGACAGATATAAACATGAGTGTCAATATAACCAGGAGATGAGAATCTCCTCAGTTGAGAAAAAAAAGTATGAGTGTCAGAGATTCTTGCACTCTGATAGCTGACTCTGAAGATGCAATACTAACGTGAAAGATTGTTCGTGTGTAAGTAAAGGGTGACATGATGATGGGACACTGGCTCTGTGTTGTATTTCAAGCTGTTCATTCTGAAGTAACCCCACCCAAAATAGTGACCATTAATTTCTCACTTTTTAATGATGAATGTGTATTTCCACATTTTTCTAATTTTGTTTTTTTTCCATTTCAAGTTGTGGAACTCTTGCCTGGTGTTCAGCTTGTATTGAAATTGTAAAACAGATGGCCTCAGCTGCAGCATTGCATCCAGTTCTGTGTTTGCAGTTTAGTTAGGATGCAAGGTATTGGAGTGAATGCAGATTTTTAGTTATTTATTCATGGAATCTGCTGCTGGCAGCATGTATAGCCCATCCAGTTGCTCTGGTGGTATTGGTGAGGTGCCATCTTGAACTGTTGCAGTTGTTGAGTTGTAGGAACACTACATGTGCTGTTGGGAAGGGATTTCAGGATTTTGATTCAGCAACACCAAATCATTGATGATGTAGAGATTATGGTTCCAGAAGGTGTTGTTAAAGGAGCCTGGGTATGTTACTACCCTGCATCTTGTTGGTGTGATAAATTTTGCCACTGTGCATCAGAATGAAGTGATTGAAGGTGGCTGATGGGATCATAATCTAAGAATTGGTAAAATGCAGAGGGAGGCCATTCAGCCCATGTGTCTGTATTGGCTCTCTGAGCAATTCATTGATATCCATTCTGCTGTCTTGCCATTACTGCATTATTTGAATAGGAATACTGTTCAATCTCCTTGCCTTTTGGGTACCTTGATCAAAGTACACAGATTGGAGAATGAATCAAGCATGGCTACTTTGTCTTGGATTGCATCTTGACTGTTTGTTCAAAATGTACTCCACCTGGCAGGTGGGAAGTATCATCTCACATTCTAGCCTTGTGCTTTGTAAATAGTGGAGGGACTTTGAAGGGTAAGACACTGCATAATAGAATCCCTACAGTGCAGAAGGGGGCTATTTGTCCCATCAAGTCTGGACCCAGACCCACCCTGCCAGTCTATCACCATAACCCTGCATTTACCACATCTAATCCATGTAGCTTAGTGCATCCCTGGACACTACAGAGAAGTTTTGGCATAGCCAATGTACCTAACCTGCACATCTTTGGACTGTGGGAGGAAACCAGTGCACCTGGCACTATAGAATTCCCAATGCCTGACTTGTTCTTGTAGTCACATTTGCTATATGGCTGTTTCAGTTCAGGCTTTGGCTGATAATGTGCTCAAGATGTTCACAATGAATTCAAGATCCAAGTGGCTCTGTTGGGACCCGAAATGAGCATCAATGAGTAGACTATTGCCACACATGCTGTTTGATAGCACTGTCCGTAGCATTTTTCATAACTTTGCTAATGATTGAGATTAGATGGATGGAACAGTAATTGGCTGTATTACATTCTATCCTGTCTTGTCAGGACAGAATGCACACGAGCAATTTTTCACATTGTCAGGAAGATGTCTGTTGTAATTGTACTGGATTAGCAGCAGTGCAGCAAAGTCAATACAAAATGATTTCTATCATGGGTTGACAACATTAATTCTTGTAAAAACTACTTTTACAGATGTCATGAGCGATTGTATGCTTTAAAACTAAACAATCTCCTTATTTTTCATCACCTGTCCTTTAGCAGATAATAGAGGACCCTACCCACCCCAAAATGTCAAGTTTCCTGCTCCTCTGATGCTGGCTAACCTGCTGTGTTCCTCCAGCTCCACACTGTGTTATCTCTGACTCCAGCATCTGCAGTTCTTACTATCTCTCATTAGCAGATAATATCACTTTTTTTTCCAGTTTTTAAATGCTGGTGACATATTTCACCACTCCCTGATTGTGAACTCTGAATTTAAAAGGACAATATCAACACAGTCATATTGTTAAACCAGAAGTAAGTTTAATTCACACATTTAGACCTTAGGCATGTGATATGGGGCAGGATGGGCAATTCTTTGCAACACAGGCACACTTGCAAACAAGCAGTGAGAGCTACTTACATTATCCAACAATCAAATAATGTACAAAAACATGCATGGGATACCAGTTAACAATGTCCTTGCTTTTAAGACCAAAAAAGTCCAAAACTTGAGTTTGCAGTCTCAATTTTCCTGCAGACGAAAAATATCTGCTGCTTGAAATCTGCAGCAATCCAGGAGGACTCTCTTCACAAAATAGGTCCGGTCGACTGGCGATCCTTCCTTCACCTTCTTCAGTCACCCTGATGGTATTTCAGCCCCCCCTGGCCTGGGTTGTCGGCATTAGCAGAGGCCATAAGCTCTGGTTGGCTGGTCAGTCATTGAATTGGTGTTAGGCCGAAGCCAGCACAAGGATCTACCAAAATCAACTCAGCTCAACCAACTTTCTTCCAAATTCTGCTCACAATTCAGTGAAGATCTCATGATCTTCTATGATGAAAGTTCTCAGGTCAGACTCAGGATCAAGGCACCTTCCCTGCAAGGTATGTATGGGTGAGAAGCCATTAACTTTTTAAAATCCAAAATACACTTTCTTCATAAAATGGTCAAGCCACAGGCCTACAATTTGGTCGGGTGGAAACGATTGTTGTTTCTCTGGTCTGGGTATCCTGGTGTGAGGAGGCAACTTCACCATCTTTGAAGTGAAGGAGGTGGAGGGTGGGTGCTACTTCACAGCAGACGATGTGGACAGAAATGCTTCCCTGAGACTAATTAGCGTCTCCGTCCTAGTGGTAAAGTGTGAGTGATTGACTGTCTGCAGCAGGTCCCACTGCAACTGGCAATATCCAGGCCTGTTATTCCAGTAGGACACTTCAACTGCATCGTTGATGCAGAATGGCCAATCCAAAGGGACTCTCAGCAAACCGGATGCCATGTCCAGATTCCTGATGGAAAGGTTTTAAGTTGCAAATCTCCATGATGTTTTCAGAACCCTTGCAGATGGAGTGCAACGTAGATACACCTGGCCGCAGCTAGACAGGTCTATTGCTCAAGGCTAGATTTCCTGTTTGCATCCCGTACGTTCTCAGTCAGATCCATTGATGTTAAGCCGATGTTATTCTTTGACCACTGCCTCCTGCTGGCCGACTGTCACCTACAGGATAACCAGCAGGCTGGCAAGGGAATGTGGGAGCTGACCGTGAAATTGTTGACTCCAGAAAACATTGAGGAGCTCAAAACGGGTCACAGAGGTTGGAGAACAGTGAAACCCCTCTCTGAGTCTTAGTCGAACTGGTAGTAAACAGACAAGGGGAACATCAAGAGGTTCTTTATCCTGAAAGGTGTTCAGAAGGTGAGAGAGAGTTTTCCCTGTCTCTCCAAATCCAGAAAAAGCATGTAGAACCAGCTCCTGCTGCAGACAATGGGAGTCATTGTTACAAGGATCTCCAGGAGGTGAACAGCCAGGAAGGCTCATCTGTTGCCTCAGAGGCCTCCAAGGTAATCTTCCAGGCCAGGGTCTGCACCATGGAGTTGGATGAGACGTGCTTGCATTTTTTTTTCTTCCAGAATGTGCTCAAGGAGAGCTCTGTGCACAGCTGCCTGAAGAAAGAAGATGGCTCAGTAACGTCACCTTGGTCTGACATCCTGAGCATCAGCAAGTCCTTTTGTGCCAGGCTGTATGACATGAAGCTCACAGAAAATGCAGCCTCCAGTTGTTCCTGTTGTCTATCACAGATAGATGACAGCAGGCAGGAGAGGCTGTAACAACTGTTATCTCAGGATGAGCTGACCAAGACCCTCCAGTCCTTAGGAAACAATAAAACTCCTCCTGGAAGCAACAGCTTAACAACCAAGTTGTATTTGGCTCTGGACAGGACCTGCTGGAGGTGTATAACAGTGTGCTTTCCATTAGGTAGAACGTGTGACTCCAAGAGGAAAGGTATCATCAGAATCCACTACAAGTGGAAGGGGGACAGGGAAGAAGTTAGAAATTGGTTGCTAATTTCACTGCTGAATGCAGACTACAAAATCCTATTTGTGGTCATTGCCAACCAGCTCAGCTCAGGTCTGGGATTGGTGATTCACTTCAACCAAACCTGTGTTGTACTGGGTAGGACGATCTGAGACAATTTAATCTAAAGGAGTTAAGATCACTGAATGCAAAATGATCCCTCACTGATATGTCAACCAATTTTGTCAGAATCCTGTCTGTTTTGTCTCCCCCTTCAGAATGCACTGCAGTCATTCAGTAATATCTCTGACCTAGGCACCAGGGAGGCAATATCTCATTCTGGAGTTTAGTTTGTGGATGCAGAAACTACTGTTTGTTCCCCACACAACTGCAGAAACTCAAGGATTACTTCTGGTGCCACATGCTAGTGACAGTAGGAATAGGAGGGTGGGCAGATAGATGCATGGTTGAGGAGACAGTGCAGCGATTCAGGTTTTTTTTGATCTCTTTGGGGCAGAAATGACTTGTTCAAGATGGATGCGCTGTACCTAAACTGGAGGGGGTCCAATACCCTGGCGGGCAGATTTGCTCATGCTACGCAGGAGACTGGGATCCTAAGCAGTGGTGAGAAAAGAGAAGATTGAGGCTGGTTCGGAAGTTTAAAGGGAGCAGAGAAATAGACTAGGCAAGAAAGCACAGTAGACGTGAGATTGAATTTAACCTGCATTCATTTCAATGCAAGACTAACAGGGCAGATGAACTCAGGGCATGGATGGGAATATGAGACTGCAATGTTTCAGCTATACCAGAAACATGGCTGAAGGAGTGACAGGACTGGTAGTGCAAAGTTCTGGGATATAGTTGCTATAGGAAGGATAGAAAGGCGGGCAAGAGAGGAGTGGCAGTGGCATTTTTAATCAGTGAAAACATCACTACTGTACTTAGAGAGGATATTCCTGGGAGATCATCCAGTGAAGCTACATGGGTGAAACTGAGAAATAACAAGGCAATGATCACCTTGATGGGATTGTATTATAGAGCCCCTCAGTAGTCAGCGGGAAATTGAAGAGCAGACATATGGGAAGATTTCAGATATCTGTGAGAATAATGTGGTTGTAATAATAGGGAATTTAAACTTTCCAATCATAAACTGGGATTGCCACAGTGTTAAGGGCTTGGATGAGGAGGAATTTAAGTGTGTTGAAGAAAATTTTCTGTATCAAGATGTCGATGTTGAGAGAAGGAACAAAACTCTACCTTCTCTTGGGAATTAATTTAGGACAAGTGACTGAGGTGTTAGTGGGGGAGCACTTTGAGACCAGTGACCATAATTTGATTAGTTTTAAAATAGTTATGGAAAAGGATAGGCCTTGTAAAAAAAGTTAAAGTTTTAGATTGGAGCAAGGCCAATTTTGACTGTATTAGACAGGAACTTTCAAGGGAGGCTGCTCACAGGTAAAGGGACAACTGGCAAGTGGGAGGCTTTCAAATGTGAGATATTGAGAGTTCAAAGACAATTTTTTTTTTAGATTGAAAGGCATGGCTGGGGGGGAGTCAGGAACAATGGATGAATAGAAATATTAAGGAGGCATATGTCAGGTATAGACAACTGGGGTAAAGTGAATCCCTTGAGGAGTAAAGGCAGAGTAGGAGCATACTTGTGAAATCAGAAGGGCAAAAAAGGGATATGAGATAACCTTGGCAAGTAAGGTTAAAGAGATTCTACAGGTACATTTAAGGGCAAAAGAGCAACTAGGGAAAACACAGGGCCCCTTAAAGATCAATGAGGCTATCTGTGGAAACACAGGAGATGGGTGAGATTCTAAATGAATATTTCACATCAGTATTTACTGTGGAGAAAGACATGGAAGCTAGGGAACTTGGAAAAATAGTGGTGTCTTAAAAACAATCCACGTTACAGAAGAGGAGTTGCTGGAAGTCTTAAAATCATAAAGGTAGATAAATCCAGTACTTTATCAAATGCATGCCAGGATATTGTAGGAAGCTAGGGAAGAAATTGCAGGTCCCTAGCAGAGATACCTGTATCACCTACAGCCACAGGTGAGATGCCAGAAGACTGGAGGGTGGCTAATGTGCCTTTATTTAAGAAAGACTGAAAGGAAAGGCCAGGGAACTATGGACTGGTGAGTCTGACATCAGTGGTGGGTAAGTTGTTGGATGGGATTCTAAGAAACAGGATTTATATGCATTGGAGAGGGCAAGGACTGATTAGGAATGGCTTTGTGAGTGGGAAATTGTGTCTCTCAAAC